AAAAGGGGTATCTCCCCTTCAAATAGCGCCTATACGGGTTTGTCTTTTTTGAGAATACCCCGAAAATTGTGGTTTCCATTTTTGGTGTTCCCTTAAAACAACTTAAAAAGGGGTATATACCCTCAAACAAAGACAGACCGCAGTAGCATGGGGCCATAAGGGTATGTCTCTCGCCGTGCCGAGTCCACAATGCCTTTGAGTGCACAATGCCCTTGGCATTCAGTAGAAACGCCCCCCCCCCCCGCCTCCCCTTGTCACCGCGTTTCGTGCCACCTTGAGTCTCTCAAATTGTAAAGACATGGAGGATGAGCGTTTACATGTGAAAGAACACAACTGCTTGCGCCCACCTAGGGAAACTTCCACCTCACCAACCTGAAGGGCACTAAGAGACGAGGGCTCGGATCGGTGAGCCAACATGAAATCAAAATAGGATGTGCTAAAAAAATGGACTGTCTCTTGGGTTGGGTTACATTATTTGTGCTGTAATAAGAGACATCCCCTCCACGCAAGCATACGATCCATCTGATGAGAGCCAATATGGCTGAAAGCCAAATAGGTATTTCTTAAAACAAAGGGAACCCCGAAGTTGTTCGTTTTTGGACTAAGCCTGTCCAAAAACCGCTGGAGAAACCCCCCACTGGGCCTTAAGTGGGGTATGCGTAGGGTAAAGCCAGTGGACTTACGAACAGGGGACGCCGGGCACGTATTGAGCGGGTGGTCTTCCAAGTAGGGAACTCTCTGTGTGGGGCTGGGCGGAACGCGCGAGTGTAAAGTCAAACGTTCCACCGCGTACCCCACGGATGTACCCTAAGACCGTTTCAAACTATATAAGCCACGTACAGTCAGGAAACAGGGCCAATCCCTATGACATGGGTGACCCGAAGGGTGGTCACTTGTTGAGAAGGGTGCCCTCCAAGTCAGCATCACTCGCGAGTCAGCGCCGTCCTCATGCATGGCTTGTTCAGCCTCAGCTGTGCAAAACGCTTCAAACGTTCTCATGTCCAAGTGCCGCAGCTGATATCACCAGCATGCATATTGCCAACATCATCAGCACCAGCATCACCAGCATGGCATGGTGCCGGCATCATCAGCACTGCCAGCATCCTTGCCTTTTGGTCCTCTATGCTTGCTTGTTCCAGGTGCGAAAAAATTGCTTGAACCAAAGTCCCAAACAGTTCGTAGCTTAAGAACAGGCAAGTTGATGATTTGGAGGCTTCGGGGTGCAAGCTTCAAATCAGTTCGCACCAATCCAAGCCAACAACTCAGGGCTTGCTGAAGACAAGCCTCTTGCGCAAATCAAATTAGGGATAGTGTACCCAGAAAATTCCGCTTGGGTCTCCCGGATACTCTTTGTGTGCTGCATTGCGTATCCTTATATGCCCTTTGTCCTCCCTTATATTTATACACCCGGTTCGGGAAAGATTTTGTTCGAGACCGATGACAATCTATCTATGACTTGAAATGCACTGGACCTCGAAGTTCATGCTTTTGGGAAACATGGCTTCTACGCCAAAGTGGTCCCCTCTTCATTTCAATTGCGATTCCCTGCACATCACAGAAATCCTTAGTAAAACCCAACAAAGCGGTCAGAGGCTCAACCCATTTTAGAAAGCCCCAACTGGCTCGTTGTTGACCCCAAATCTCCGAAACGCGCGACCCCAACGGGCTACGTGGTGGCTTACATTGACCCCTGATGAATGCGTCTCAAAAAGCCCCCCCACCCCCAAGCCACTCTTGATTCGTACAATGGATAAAACAAAACCTAGTCGACTGGATTCTCCAAGTTTGACACAGCCATGAAGCGCGAAAACGGGCTCGACCAAAGTCTCACTCATCGGCTTCACGCCTCTTTCCCCCAGGCATGCCGTGGTAAAAACATAAATGCTTCCATGAAAACCTCCCGCACTGGAGAATGAGTTCTGCTGGCCTGGGAACGGGTACCATCCACAGATTTCCCCAGATTGCCCCTGATGCTTTAAAACATCACCAGTTTGCCAGTGTCAGAGGGATGTAGGGGGTGCGGCCCCCTTGACCTTGGCAGACTTCAGCCATGTCAATCACTAGACTACCAATATTGTCACTTGCTCGTTCAATATTAGGCTCTGATTCCTACTCACACAAACCAAGAAGTGACATCACTAGTGCGAGCTGACTACCGGGTTAAACATGTCCCTCATGGGGCATTCCTATGACTACTTTGTCACTAGTATGACAGAAACCGCTTTGCACCTGAAACAACTGCTACCCGACAGCTCCGAGTAAGCTTTGCACACCCGAATCACCCGAGACCAGTTCCAAGCTGCTCATTGGAGGGTTGGTCGAAGCGCTCGTTGCTTTCCACGGGCGAAAGGACCACCTCACCAGCGCCCGAAACCGACCTGTAGCTCTAAGACTTTAAGATGGTCGTAATGTCATAATGATGTGTATATATAGAGAGAGAGATGTCTACTGAGATGGTCTGCGTGTAAGGGGAACCCCAAAATTGGTGGTTTTCTTTTTCATTGTACTTTGTACGAACCCCGATGTGGCACCCTCAAAAAACGCACACAAGAAGAAGTAGCAGGGTACCTCCATGTTCTCTTCAGGGACCCTGCAAGGGCTAAGACTGACATGGCCTTAGTTGGCCTTGTGCCGGGTGGTCCGGGCCCTTTGGTAAAAGGCCCCTTTTGTTTGGTGCTTGATTGTAAAGGGGTTCCAAACCAGAATCGCAGAATGGACTTGAATCCCACTGCCCCGCTCAACCGGCCTCCGTATTGCGACTCAGGTTGCTCGGCAACCTAGGGCACCTGGCAAAGGAAGGCGACTGTGGACAAGGCTCCCGAAATTTATCGTACAATCCAGCGGGACTTTGGATTTCCTGATTTCCCTGCTGGTCTTTTGAAAGTATCTCCCCTCGTCCTGGTTTTTAAACATCTTTGACGTGATGTTGGATCGCAATCCACAAAAACAACCCACCTCAAAAAGTCTTGGTTAACCCAAGAAATCATGAGGATCCCATTCTCGTCCATGGTCCCTCAGTTTTGTTGGCACATTGAGAATGCACCCAATTCATCAAACCTCCTATGAATCAAACGGGCAATGTGTGTTGTAGCAAACCTTTAAAAGGCAAACCTTCATTGTTGCCAACAAATACATGCCCCACTAGCCACTGTCTGCAAGGACTAAGAACAATTCCACCTGACATAAGCATTCAAACCTCCGGTAAAGGACCGACATGGTGAGCCTGTTGCGCCCATCAGTAAGCTGGCCAGAAATCCGGCCATTGCGGGTCCCACAAATGGCGAGTCCTCCAAATTGCCAGCTCCAAACGCTAAGACGGGGATCTCAGTAGCCAAAGGATCGGAGAAACCCTGGGGCCACTGAAAAAACGGCCAAACCAAAGAGGTGAGATCCCGTCGAAGTTGGCAAGGAAAGTGTTTCAGACCTTCTGCGAAGCCCGTTGGCACAAACTTGAACAAAACTCGGTGGAAAGAATACCAACCGCTGGATCCACAAACTTAAGCCAAGAAAGCTTACCCTTGGGGTGGTTGGCCGGTTGAGCCACGAATTCCACGCAAAAATGAACCGAGTCCCCCCTCCCCCCGCCTGCCCTCAGGCGAAGGAGGCGCTGCAGTCTCAGCCTGGGGTTGGGTGGGAGGGCGGCAGGGAGGTGCGGGCGTAGGTGGGGCTCCCTGTGACCTTGGCGAACTATGGACCAAATCTGAAAAACCAAAAGGCCAAAGGGTCACTGAGATCCAAATAACTCTCTCTGAAGGAGTCTACAGTATTTACCCCACGTTTGTGGCTTTAAAGAGAAACCAAAGAGAAATCAACTCATTCAAGGGGCAATGTCCCCTTTAAACATTCTTGAAAGGAATCTCAGTTCAAACCCCGCGATCCTTGCTCAGATGCCAATTCAGATGGAAAGAAATCCAAAAAGGAGTCCGCAGCCCACCAACCGAGATTCCTCCTCAAATGGGGGTTCCGAGTTCATGTGCAGACCAAGGTTGGTTTCTGGTACTTTGGCGGGTGAGCGTTTAAAGCTTGTCTCTCCCGAACCCCACGTACCTGTAATATATATATATATATATATATATATATATATATGTATGTCATAGTTTTGGAGGAGACCCATGTTTCAAAACAGCAAAACAAAACCACATGTTGGCCTTTGACAAACCTAAGTACAATGCCGAGCCACCCCATTTTGTCAGACCTGATTTCCCGTACCCTGGCCCACCCCGCGCAACCGGCGCACCTTGCCGCCTTTGGACCGGTTCCAGAGTTTTATAGAGTTTTATGCTTAAGGTCGACCCTCCGAAAGTGAGAGTCTTTCGGATAGGGCCAAATGGGCATGTGCAAACGGGCTGACCCTCAAGGGTGCGGCTCGACCCTCATGCGGTCGTTTCAATACTCCCAAGACCAACGCTGATCAACGCACCGCTGCCTAAATCAAACGCTGGTCAATTCACTGGTCCCAAATCAAAAGTCGGTGCAACAAAACTCCGCAAATCTAGAGTTCATCCATTCACTCCTCGCATCATTAGTCGGGTCACTGGTCATGTTGATCAAACAAAACTGAGGCCAAATCAAAGGTGGGTTCAACAAAACTCATCCCCAATTCAAAAGTTGATTGGACACACCTAAGCCCACAATCAAAACTTGATCCAGCAAAACTGGTCCCCAAGTCAAAAGTTGATCAAGCGCAACTGCTCAACAAATGGCTTGATCGACAAAAACTGGTCCCGTATCAAATGTTGAGACACAACCGCTCTTCACAACGCTAATTGATCGACGAAAACTGGCCCCATGTCCAATGTTGATCGTACACACAAACACACAAGACTTGACCGAATAAAAATGTGATCACAATACAACTGTCCTCAAAGCAACAAATCGTTCAACAAAACCTGGTCCTCAAAACGAAACAAACAAAAAACTGGCCCCATATCAACAGTTGACCAAACACAACTGGTCAAGCGAAGCTTCATCAAACAAGACTGGCCCGCACACCAAAGGTGATCCAACAAAACTTGTTGTGTTTTCCCTTCAACATCCAAACCAGATGCACTGAGCCTCAAAATCCCTTGGGTTTGAGAGGTTTGTCCGGGGACGTCTTTTTTGAGCAAAACGGACACCAAAAATTGACCAACAAAAACAGCTGTCCTGTCCAAGAAAAAACCCAAAAACATGGTGTATGCTGGCGCCAACCCCGAGGCTCGCCCACCCCCACCCACCAACACTGTTTTAGGGTTCATGCTGGGCCCACAAAAGGCTTTTAAGGGTTTATGTTGGCCCCCGCCCCACCCACACTCTTTAGGGATTATGTGGCCCCACCAACACTTTTTAGAGTTTATGCTTATGTTGGACCAACGCGGGTTTGGGTTTACGCTGGCCCCACCAACACTTTTTTTTGGGCTTTCTGTTGGCCTCCAGACACCTTTTAGGGTCCGGGAGCAGCCGGGGACATTAGGCGGGCAAACCTCAAAGTCCTGGCGAACATGGTGTGCCCTCAAAAGCAAAGACACACCCATATGGGTGTGGGTCAAAATTCAACCACCAGGGGACCGCAGGTTTTGGTCCATGTTGCCACTTACCAGGGTTCCCATTTTGGGTACCTATTTGTGACCCACACCCATACTGCTATCAATCGGGAAACCCCCTAAAGAGGACCATTTCAGCCCACCTAAGTGATGTCCACCAAAGGGCGCCCCAATTTATTTATGCCCATCTCCAGTCTCCCCTTGAACAAATGTCATGGTTGGCAGCTCAAGGCAACTCACTGCATTTCGGTTTTCAGGATCTCTGCTTCCGAACCAGACTTCAACTTTTGCCCTCTTGCCGAACAAACTCAAGCACAGGGGTCCCCGTGTAAATGATGTCCACCAAAGGGTCCTTGATCAACATTCACACCCTTCTCTTTGCTTTCGAACCCAACCAAGCGCTCGAGGCACCTCTGCCTCCGCTTCTACTCTAAGCTGTGCCAAGAGTTCCTCCACCCGTGACAGCGCCTGCGAAATCATCGCCAAAGGCTTCGGACCGAGCGGAGAATTGGACTTCGGAGGTTCTTGGACTGGGGGGTGTCGTTTGCGGGACACCTTGGGGAAGTTCCTTCCGTATCTTAACTGTGGGCTGCGGTCTGTTAAACATGTTTACAATAAATCAAATGAAACTAAAATATGAAGTGCATCCCAAGAGGACCTGCACGGTAGGCTCATCCCCCCCAAACCCGACCGGTGAGCTCGCCACAGAAAAAGCAAACTGGATCGAAACCAAGTCAAAGATCCGAAAACTGGAGACTGACTTAAAAGCTCACGGCCTGGTGTTCTCAAACACTGGCTGACAGCTTATTGTGTTCAAACACTGTTTCGGACCCCCCCTTCCCCTCAAACTGAATTGGTCGCAGCTACGGAGGTGCACAAGTTCCAAAGCGTTGGTTTGACAAAGTCTGCACCAAGGACTCGCTCCTGGTGCTGCTGGTTCGTGTTTGTTCGACAACCGTGTCCGAAAACTTAATGTCACGCCGGTGGCCAGTACAGGGCCAGTTCAGGTTGTTTCTTGCCCTCGTCGTGGTCCTGAGAAACCCCAAGATCCCCCCAACGGTTCAAAAGTGAATGCGCCTATGGATGGTCAACCTGCGCCTCTAAAACCCCCCCGAAGACCCTGGTAGGTCCTTCACCTGGCTACGATGGCTAAGGGATTTGAAGCCAAATATGGGCTCTCAAAATGGTGGACCCCTTTGGTCGGTGGTTGAAGGGAAACCAACCATTTTAGTGGATCACATGTCTTAAGGCAAATAAGGGGGCGTGTCAAAGAGGACTGGGGCACCCCTTTCTGCAATGCCGTGTGGATTCTCTTCCTACCAGAAAAGCAACGTCTCGCGTGATTTCAGGGATGTCTCCAGATTTCCCCGTCCCAACTTGGCCCCCAGCCTTACTGAATGGTAGTTTTCAAGGTTGTTGGAATGGTTTCCCACCCTTTGAAAGTAACTTGGTTCTCTCCAGCGACCCAGCTCACCCGCCAACCCTCCTTCCTCCCCCCCCCCAAAAAAAAACCCATGCAAATCCATCAGTACGTGAAAATTCACGCCAAGGTGGAAAAACAAAGAATATAACGTTGTGTCCGTAGGTGGCGCGAAGTCGCTTCGGGGGGCGACCGCACGAAATAGATGATTATTCCGCGCAAGTGGCGGTGCCTTGATTGATACAAAACGGCAACTTCACTGAGTCCACAAGGGGAAAATATGGGTGGTGAGGTTTGTTAGGGGACACCCCAACTGTTGTTTCTCCTTCTGGTTTCCATTTATAGCCACAAAAGCAGGAGCCCTCAACCAAAAGACGAGCCGTGCATATGGGCTTGGCTTACAGGATGTGGCTCCAACGCCCGGTAGCCTCGGGGACTGTCAGAGCCATGCCAGCGAAAACAATTCGCGCGCCCGACTGGGACGGATCCCAAAAAAAAAGGATCTGGCGGCGGCTTGCAGCTGACATAGGTTGTCCGCAGGGATGGCTGCTTTTGGCCTTGCTGAAACAACTACGGCTGTTTCTCTGCTTTGCTGAAATGCGCATCATAGGAACATATTGGAAGACAACCAAAAGTCTAGGTGGGTGCTTGCAGACCTCAGGCCAGGTTAAAGGGATCCATTGGTTCCATTCTCGAAGTTTCCTTTCAACCCACCTGCCTAACAAGTGTGTGTGTGTGTGTGTGTGTTGTTATATATATATATATATATATCTTTAAATCAAGGTGTCCCTTTCAACCACCCCCAAACAGGGTTCCACTTTGGGGGAAAAACGAGCAGCCAGGTTTGAAACCGGCCGTGGTGGCCAAAGGCCCACTTTTTGGTTGGGTTGGTTGGGTTGGTCACGTTGATCGTTCCCCCAAGGAGATGGGCAGGTTGGCAAGGTGAGTCCGGCAATTCATGGGAAATTAGGTGAATTCCCCCCTGACAGTTTGATCATAGACTGGAAATGTTGACCAACCTCACATACAAAAAACACCATTGCGGTTTAAAGAGCATGTTCGGGTCTGGGTTTTGGAGGGATGGGCGCTTTTGTACCACCCAACATAAGCTCCAAAGGCAGTACATATTTAAATATATATATATATATATATATATATATCCCTTATACGAGAGGCATGCCTCACCTCCATACCTCCTGCAAAACCCCTACGTCAGACTGCCAACTTGAAGGTTTTTCAGGCTTCCCAAACTTGGCAGACACGGCAACCTTCTGCAGTCGAAGATCAAGGTCGTGTTTCCCCATCTTGTGGGAAAACCACGCTAAATCTATGATACCAAAGTAGGGCCATGCTCATGACTACATCATTTATCAAGGGGGTCTTCCTTGGTATGACGGAAATTGGTCCCGAGAATGTCTACTGGCCACTTCCAACTGGCCACCTCTCTTTGGGTAAAACTGCTGGCTTTCCTTGAATTCCAGTTGTCAGATGCTCAGATGTTGCACGCTGATCCCATCCTCTCAAACTGGCCCTTCGCACGCGCCCCAAGTTCAACTGCACTGCGCGTGAACAGCCAAAGTGTCGCAGGCGCACGTTGCCAACTTTCGCCCAAGCATTGCCGACTTTCGCGTCTGCCTAGGGTAGCTTAGTCCAACTGTCAAAAAAAGTCACATGGGTTGTTGTGCCATGTTTAGCCTGCCTTTGAGGACACAAGACCTTCAGCATTGGGGCTGTTGACCCCCAACAGACCTTGAGTCCGAAAATTCCCCAAGTTAGTATGAAGCAAAATTGCGTGAAGCAAAGGAACCGAAGGGTTGAGCATCAGCCGGACCCGGATCGGCTCTGTTTCTTGGAGAAGCCCTTGGCTTTTTATTGAGCAGAGATCGGTGCTGATGGCTTGATGATCTCCCACTTCCAAGCGGCTCACAGCACTTGGCACCTGTTGGCCACCGGCTTCATCCCAACACGTCATCGCGAAGCGCCGCTGGCGCTTGCGGGTCGAGCGGGTTGCATTGAAGAACGTCCAAGCCCAATGCAACACCTGGATGCAAGGCCCAAGATCCCAGCGCGCACGCGCCAAGACAAAGTCCCAGGACTTTGGCCCCTGCAAGTACACGCTGGAGATAAGCGCCGAAGCCTCACCACCCGCACCTAGTGCTTTGAAACAGTTGCACCTCAGCCACTTGAGCGCCTCCGTTGTGCTGCGATCTGCCTTGTCAGGCTCCTGGCCGCGGGATCACGACTCGATGGATTCAGAAAGCGAGGCCTAGCCCGCCCAAGTTCCTCAAGACTTGCTGGCGCCCAAAGCTGCATCTGCGCCCACCGAGCACCGAGCGAATGGCCAACACATTCCAAACTGCCCCCGCGTTGATGGAGCAAAGGCCACACCCACACGGCTCACTCAATCAGTTTGTCCGCATCTTCCCACGCCTTCCGGTTGACCTTGCTGCTCTTGCCGCGAACCTGCTCAGAAAGTTGAGTCGTCAGCCAGTTGCAGGGACCTCTGCAGGCGCAAACGATGCACAGCTCCTGGCAGGAACAAAGTCTGCAAGCGCATCACCGGATCGGCTGCCCACGGTGAGCCAAAGCTGGGATTCGACTTGACCGAACGGGCCTACATCCTCGAGCTCCATGATTTCTTGCCCTTTGGTCAAATGCTAGCGGCGTGCGAGTGAAGGATCGCATCAGCTGGAGTGGATGGGCTGGGCAAGGCTTGTATCCAGGCAAAGCGCTCCTCCCAGCACTGCATACTGGCGGTCAAACGCAGAGGGCACAAGCACACTCAGCTTCCAAGCCGCTTGTGTGCTCAAGCCGGAAGTCGGGACTCGGCTTTCCCGGCTCCGAGTCCACTGGCCGAGAAACCGCGTTGCAGCCAGCCATAACCGAAGCCGTAGATCTCACTCGCCCAAGCAAACACATGCAAGGCAAACAACTTGTAAGTCCTTTCACAGCCTGTCCATCGATTCAGAGCCAAACCGGGTCGGGATTTCCAGAAAAGGCTTCCCCCATCCTTGGAATGCTCTGCCAGTACGACAGCTCTGAAGCAAAATGAAACTCTACACGAGAGAACCAGCATGGGAGTGTCCGTCAAAGCCGCTGACTCAAAGCCCTCATAAGCCTCGCAATTGACGACTTTTCGCGGCTCGCCTTGACTGTAAGCGCTACGTACATCAAACCTGCCGAACCGCCCCCCCACTCGCTTGAGCACAGAGCCGCCAACGCCAACGAGGCCACATTCCCGGCGCCAAGGCTCTCTCCGAGCGCGGAGGGAAGAGCACGGAGCCGACTCTCGCCTTCAAGCCCGGAAAAAGGAATCAAAAAGCTGCGGCTCAAAAGGAGCTGGCGCCGCAGAATTCGGCTCAGATGTGACCTCGGATTTTTGACGACTCAGCGTGCATCTCGAAGGGCCCGAAGGAACACAAGGCTTATGTGGGCTGTGCTTTTGGGCTCTGCACTCACTGAAACAGAACCGGGGGCTGCTTGCACGTGAGGCATCACCCGTCAAACATCTTGCGGTGTCACACAACGCTGGTCGGGTGGGACCATCTGTGAACTGGAAGGCAGCCTGAAATACCAGTGCAAAACGTACTGAAACGCTGCGATGTCTCGCCACACCAAAACCGGCTTCATGCTAGCTAGCTTGCAGGAACTTGCAAGCCAATGCTGCACATTGCCTCCAAGCCATTTCTCGGAAATATGGGCCACAAGTCAAACCTTGTTTCTGGGAAAGGTTCATCTCCAGCTGCAGTCACTTGCACGGCACTCGGCCCCGCAATAGGGAGGCCTTCCTTCAACTGCGACATGGGCTTGCAAGCCGGGCGTTGGGCACCACGGCACATGGAGAGCCTACGACACCTTCAAGTGCTTTTTGGCTTCGCATAGCGCTAGTCGGACATGCACAGAAACACCATGACGTGCTTCAAAGCCGGCTTCACACTAGCTGGCTTGATGTGGACACGCAAGCTGACCCTTGCAATCATGGCAAAGAGGCCTCACTCTGGCAAGACAAACGCAGGCATGTTACTAAAAGGGTTGCCTTCGGCCGGAGCAATTATCGCAGTGAGCCCCTCGGCACTTGAAACTGGCCCGAGTCACTGGTCTTTACCGCCGTGCCGTACTGTGTTATCATGCGCTCCAACCTCCAGCCGCAGTGACTCGATTCAGAAGACGGCAGCAAATTGTATGCAATGAGACTCCGCCCCTACAACACTTTGCCAGACTTTGCTGTCTTGGTCGGGCTCAATGGAAGATCAAGCAAAATGATTCAACCAATGAAAGACACTCCTTGCAAATGGTGTCCTTATTCAAGGTTGCTTGCAAGTGTCGACGAGAAAGGTTCACACCGGTTTGTACCACCATACTGCTGCTCTGCATCATCGCAGCCTCCCATCTCCAACCTCAGCCCCGACTGGCCTGATACGGAGCATGATCAAACTTCGTGACGCAAGCGTGGAGCCCTTCAAGCTTTTTGACGTTATGCACGCACGCGGGCACCACTCTGGTTGCGGCACGTATGCAAAGTGGCCACTGCGCACGGCTCGCACGGTCAACGCGCTACACAAAGTCGCGAAGCTCGCACAATCCCAAAGTCACTGTGACACCCGGAAGAGCAGAGCCAAAGCGCGCGAACATCCGCGGGCAGGGCCCTATGCGTGGCGCACCACGAGCTCCGGACGTTTGATCTCCAAGTCGCCCGAAAGCAAACTTCCATCCTACAGATCACGCCAGACACCCAGACAGGCCTGGCATGCGAAGACACAAGCTGCAAATCCGGGCAAAGGGAAGTATGGTCCACTCCGATACACATTCACCTTGCATCTTTCCACCACACAGCCAATGCGATCCAAGGCGATTCGAGCAAGGGCAGAAGACGCCAGCAAGTGGAACGCACTCGGACTTTGCTGGTGGACGGCTCAACCCATGAAAGCTCCTCACACAGGGAGTCTTTATTTGGGGCTGCCGGACGACAGCTGAAGCTGCTACGTCATCGTGTCCAACAGCTTGTCCACAACTTGAGCGTCAAAAAAATGCCTTCACTTTGCATCAGCCAATTCGAGACGAGGCTTGGAGGAGACGACTTTGGCCCGGCGAAGGCTCTCTTAACACAACTGCCATAGTTCGTGTGTCTCGAACTCGCAAGCCCACGCTCAAGGTCGCCGAGAAATGCTGTGCTCTTTCACAGAACCCTCTTTGCCAGGGATCACTGAGACCGAGAGAAGCAGAGGAGCTGGATTGATGCGCCACAGGTTCCGGACGTTTGATCTCCAAGTCGCGAAAGCAAACTTCCATCCTACAGATCACGCCAGACACCCAGAAAGGCCTGGCATGCGAAGACACAAGCTGCAAATCCGGGCAAAGGGAAGTATGGTCCACTCCGATACACATTCACCTTGCATCTTTCCACCACACAGCCAATGCGATCCAAGGCGATTCGAGCAAGGGCAGAAGACGCCAGCAAGTGGAACGCACTCGGGCTTTGCTGGTGGACGGCTCAACCCATGAAAGCTCCTCACAGAGGGAGTCTTTATTTGGGGCTGCCACATTACTACGGCATCGTG